TAAATTTTCATCAAGCAAGCAATTATAATAAATTGTGAGGTTGCTATGATACTGATAAATCAATAATATAATACGATAGTCCTTACCTAGTAATCTATTATTGTTAAATGATTTCAGTACTCGACTGTTTTAATATTTATTATATGGCCATTAATTTTGTAAATCTTGCACTAATTAGTTGTAATAGTTTCAATTTAATTACTATCATGAACTACGATTTAATCGTTTGTAAATATTGAAATTTTAATAGATTAGACATTTTAATGTGAAGATCAATATTATTTCAATTATATTATATATATATATATATATATATATATTATTATATGAAGATCAATATTATTATTATTATTATTATAGATCAGTAATTATTATGCCTTGAGCAATTTAAATAGGCTTTATTTATATTTTGTTTCATAAACCATTTTAAAATTATCTTAAGTCAGAAAATATAAGCTTCTAAACTAGAAGATAAAAAATTGGTGCATATTCAAAACAGTTTTGCTGTTTTTAATTTTTCTCTGTTAAAATTCAGTTTCTGAATCAAATATGATTTTTAATTTACTGAATTTACGTTATTTTCTATGCAGAATAAGTTCTATGAGGTAATAAAAAAATTATTCGTATTTTAAAAATATTAATGAAGACCACCAGTTAACATCAGTTTAAATTATTATAAATAAGAGATATATTCTTCCTATATTTATAGCATTAATCCTCGCGAAAGAAATTAGACTTCTGATTTAAAATTTTGGTATTAAATTATAGATTAATATTAAATAAAGGCATTAAATCCTTGTATTTTTGAAAATTTCTCTCACGTTTCTGAAAGTCATAGAAAATGTTAAATTCTTTTTAAGTATATTATTTTAATATTAATAAATTATCTTAAAATTGTTAATTATTTAGTATATATTTTCTAAATGTTAGTGCAAAAACATGCGTTATTGTGTCAAATGTTTTGCAGTGATCATACCTGAAAATAAAATATTTAATTTCGGAATTTTAAATGGTCAGATTAATATGCGCAATTAGAAGCTCATCGATTAATATGTGAGAAAAGGGAATTTTAAAATCTTTTTTTCCTTTCAATGGTGTAAGAAATAAGTTGATAATCCTCTAAAACAATAATTGTTTTTATATTACTTGATGCATCAAATAAACATGAGAGAAAGTTGTAAAATTTTTGGTGAAAAAATTTTGCAATAGAAGAATTTAGAAATCGTGTATGACAAAAAATGTCCTAGTGACATGAATGTTAAGGAATATACAATAGATCATTGTTTAACCGTTTAACTCTGTATGTAATGTTAAATCAGTGTTAAAAGGAAAAAAACAAACTACTTATAGATTACGAAAGTAGAACAACATTCTCAGATAGAAAGCTTCTAACCAGATGGGTACCTATAAAAAGATTTTCCAGAGTTTAGATTTCAAAGTCCTTTCTCAGAAACTCTACATAAAAGGTTTTTGAAATCTTATTCTTTTATTGCCTTTGAACTCTTTACTTTCACTAAAACATTTCAGAAAAAAATGGACAATCATACAATGCCTTTTGCTTTAGTAATTGAAAAAAAAAAAAAAAATTAAAGTTCTGAACGTGTGAACGGTATGCGAAGAATTTGCTCATTCATTAAATGCTGTTTTGTGCAAAATCACTCAAAAATCCTCCAAGTCTTTCACTTTTTTACAGGTATTATTCTTTACGTTTTTGTTTATACGTAGGCGTGAGTTTCTTGTGCTTTTTTTACGCTGCAATCTTTATTTAATGCAATATAATTTCACGAATGGGAATGCAGAAGAGAAAAATTTAAGCTGATAACATCCTATAGTTGAAATCACTCAGTTATTAATGTTTTCCTTTCTTTCATAACTCACTTATCAGAGTTATCAGTTAAACAGTGTGACCCAAGTTTCTTTGGCGTATGAATGAAAAGTCCAAATAAAAGTATACGCACATAGAATTTAATATAATGTTAACGAGTATGTTAAATTTTTGCCTCAAATTTATCTGGTAACATTTAGTTATTTCGATTTTAACATACGAAACACAGAGCCTATTTCAGTTCTTTAAGCTCTTTGGGTACATAAAGACTCTATGCGTAAAGTCAGAATTCTGTGAAAACGGAATGAATTCATTGTCATAATAGCAATTATATACCTATTCATTAATATTTACTTTTTAGCTTTTTAACTTCGTTCTTTGTCTTTATAGAAATAAATTGCTTATTTACATTATTTAGTCCAAAGGGGCTTTGTCTCTCAAGGACTATCGTTTTCGTTTTGAGCTTTTGTGTTGGTTCACTATAAATGTCCGTTTCACTTTTCAAACTGTTGCCACCAAATCTTAGAGTCCTGCATTATATTTGCAGAAATTAAATAATGAAAAATCGGCATAAATGTATGTATATTTCTCGCATTGAGATAAACCAACGGTACATAGAGCCATCGAATTTTGAATGACGTAATCCTCCTACGAATATGGGCATGTGGAAGACCAAATTTGAAATTTGGAATTTGTTTTATTATCAATTTCATATTTTGTAAATCTTTAACGAATGTTTTATGAATAATCTCATTTTTCAAAGTGAGCAATGGTAACATTGTACAAGAAAACATTTTTATCTCCAGCGCGCGAGTCTCTGTATCGGAAATCCTCAATTTAAAACTATTTTGCGATGTTGCTGTTGAACTGAATTTTATGGTTTAAGTGTAAAGAACATGATATTTAATAAATAAAGGTAACACACAAAACGTTAAAAAAGCGCCCCTTTGGACATAATTTAAAATCTGAAACCTTTCAGATTTTGTTCTTTTTTTTTTTTTTTTTTTTTGTTGTTGTTTTATAAACCATAAAATTTTCATTTCTTAACGTGTGTTGCATGATCAAAACTAAAACAATGATTGTAATAAATTGTTGTTTCCTATGCAGAACTTAATTTGTAATTTTCAAGATCGAACTCCAAATTTCTGAAAAATGTATGCCATGCCTTTCTGCTAATAGAAAGTAACAAAGTAGTTGCAGCATGAAAGCTTGTGCGTTTGATCCTTTTTTTTAAAGGCCCACTAGTGGCCGAACGGTAAAGTCGCTGAAAACTGGTAGTTCTGTCCGAGGTTCGAATCCCGGGAACGGGCTGGCTGCATGGGTGTTTTCGAGGCTTTCCCCATGTGTAACGTGTATACGAGCCAGTTTCTCTTAGAAAGTCCTCCACGAAGGCACCCCTCCCTTTAGACGAGATAGCCCTCGAGGCTTTGCCGTAATTAATAAACCTAATCTAACCTTTTTTTAAAACTGGACAATCAAGTTACGATTAGCTGTTCAAGTCAAATTCAAGTAAAAATTTTTAAATGCAAGCATAGTATGGATAAATACAAGTGTATTATTACGAATTTTGTATTTATATAGGTAATTTCATTAGAACTGTAAATAAAATTGTTGTATTTCTTTTGTAACATGAAAAATCTAAAGAGAAGCTATGCCGGAAAAGTAAGAGTATAGGGGCAAGTCCATTTAGAATTGAGTAAATGGACTCGATAATTTGGCGAGATATCGCCTAACTGACAACAACGACTTATTTTGTCGAAATATTTGGCAAAAAATCGCCAAAAGTCGATCGCGACATTTTGATCCGGTATCTGGATCACCATAATATGTATTAAAATTGAATAAATGTAATTGACCACTATCTTAGCTGTAGGCCCACCAGCGGCCGAGCGGTTAAGGCGCTGAACACTGGTAGTTCGGTCTGAGGTTCGAATCCCGCGAACGGGCTGGGATGCATGGGTTTTCGGGTTTTCCCCATGTGTAACGTGTATACGAGCCAGTTTCCCTTAGAAAGTCCTCCACGAAAGGCATCCCTCCCTTTAGGCAGATAGCCCTCGTGTGCTTTGCCATAATTAAATACACCAACACCAACTATCTTAGCTGTAATCGTAATTCCTCCCTCGTTCCGCTTTCCAGAAATTTCGAGAAGCAGAAAGTACTAGAAATATCTCGGCGGTCTCAGATTAGTTTTCTCTTTAGATACGCTTTGCATTGCGTTGTGTTTAACGGTGATTTTACTATGTGATACTGTGAACATTTATACGAATATTTCAGTGGAAAATTCCGGAATTCTGAAATATTTCTTTTGATAAAAATAAATTTTATTAATCTATCATTTGACCTGTGCATTCAATCTACTGCGAACCCGTACGCACACAACAGTATTAATAAATTTCAGGCGTATGAACTTTCAGAAGTTTCTCATGATGCTAGTTCATATTTTTGTTTTAATTCCGAATGAAGTACACATAACGAAATAAAATATAGGCAACTCAATATTTTAAGATGCATTTCAACAGAACATGTGCAACAAATTTCAGCATTATAATTTTATGCAAAAACTATGCCAAAACGTTTCTCTTATCTCATATTTATCAGATAAGATAGTACTTATTGCTATATTCTGTGCAAGGTTTCGTTGTGCTGAGCTGAACAACTACTACCCAGAAATCGATTCTCGCTCAAGTCTTCATAGTTTTCTCCCAGCCGTCAAGATTTTTTTAGTACTTTCCACTTTTCGAAATTACTGGAAGGCATATGAGAGCCGGATATAGGTACAGCTACATATAGCATCAGTTACAGTACCCATTGCAATTATACAGGGACAGGTCCCAAAAGTCGCATAATGGTAGCCAAGTTTGGTGACTTTTTTTGGTGATTTCTTATGAAATTTGGCGACCAAAAACAAGTCGCCAGAACATTGCCGGGTTGGCGATATCTCGCCAAATTGGCGAGATAGCCATTTACTTAGTGTTAAATATTACTTGCCCCTTTATTCTTACTTTTCGGGTAAAGCTTCACCTCTACAGATTTTCAAGCTAAAAAAATACTACAGTTTCACAGATAATTTCACTAAAATTGTTTACATATGTGCAAAATTGGTGACAATATTATTGTTTTTTTAATGTATTTATTTCAAAAATTTATCGATAAAAACAATTTATTTCTTCCCCAGAATTTTAGCGATTGCCCTATTCTGTACTATAGCCATAACACAAATTCACAGCCAAGTCACAACGTGGAATATCAGAAAGCCAAGTGACGCACTTCCAGTTCCATCATATGGATACTTCGCCACAGGTTAGTGTTACCATTACATAAGTTTACATTTGCTACCTGAGCAATTCGCAGAGTAGAAAATCATTATTTATTCAACTACTTAGTTTGCTATAATGCTGATTTTACATACATTCTAGTCTACTTGGATGTGCTAATATACATTTTCTATCATCACTGTTTCTAATGTTGAGGTCATTAAATTTCTAATGTTTTAGTCATATGATTAACAAGTTTTTCTGAAATTGCTATGATCCCTAAAGTTTAAACTTTACTAGGGAACTCTTCTGGAAGCTATATTTTATTATACCAAAATTTAAAAACAGTCTGATTATAAGTAAGAAAAACTCTTATGTAGAGACACATAAAAACATAGAATAAAATAAATTACATAATATCTATTTATCTGAATGCTCAAATGATACATCATGTCATTTAAGTTTCGTGTGATAGACCCAAACTCAGATCAGATTGATTCCGAGATTTAATAACATTGGTTACTCTACAGTGGCGCCCGAACTAAAAGGGTCGTGGATGATGAATCACCACAATCAAGTTTTGGCGACTGGGTCCCCTAAATAACCCAGTCGCCCTTTAAAAGGGGGAGTATATAAGGTATTTCTCCGGCCTTCCTAGTGTGCCTTCGTGGTGTAGTGGTTCTGCACACTGGGTCGGTATTCCAGAAGTCCGTGGTTCGATTTCTGGCGAAGGCGGTTGCTAATTTTTCATCTGTCCGGTTTTTCAATTAACCTAATAGCTCTACACTTGTATTTTACGCAAAATGTTGTAAATTAAAATAACAAAAATCTAAGAATTTTCAGAATAAACCAATATGTCCATTTATTCCTTACTCTTAGGAAGGGAGAAAGATATTCCAGACTTACCGCCATATTTAGACGATCACCGAGCTCAAGATTTACAAGCCGTATATGGACCTCATTTACCAAGAGAATGTCCTATGAAGTAAGTACTCGTCCTTTAATAAGCTTTTTAAGATATTTTATTCTCGAATGGCCTTTTTTGTTTCAATTTAAAGCATTTTAGATTTCTTCACGAAAATTATGTCACTAAATTTCCTATTCTTTGCATGGACATACAATTTATTTAACACTCGCTAATTTCAAATATTTTAATAAAATTATTAATTATTATATTTTTGTAGCCCTTTCAGCTACCTAATAATAATACTTCTAAAATCTTTGGTATTATATGCATAGTTATTATTTGTAATATTACGTATAATAATACGTACTTAATACGTATGTATAATAATAATATACATATAATATGCGTATAATAATCAAGATTATGTATATATCAGTATTAGACAAACAAAAGTTTCTTATCATACACATTGAAGTATTCTAAAAATCGACACCATTTTGAATTACAATAATTGACTAGTCATCCTTAATTAATACTGATTTAAATAAAGGCAGTTCATACTATGCTTTGATACGCAATGGCGTGAATCCGAAAATTTACAGATTAATCATGTGTAACTTCTAAATCAAGTCTTTGAATTTTTTCACTTTAAAAAAAATCTGTATGTTTTGATTTAGTTGAAGCATTTCAAACAGAGTATATTTAAAATTCAAATGTTAATGAAATCTTCATGATAAACGTAAATTACATTTAAAATAGCTGATATAAATCTGTAAGATCTGATTTGTTATAAAAAGAATTCACCACAAATCACCGTAATAATAAATATCAAATATGGTTACGCACATTATCTTATTTAGTTTCTATTACTCCATTACTCTTTATGTAAATATGCAATATTTTAACACTTTTCTAATATGCTTTCTAAATAGGTTTAAGTAATCAGATTGAAAAAAGAATCCTCAAAGGAAATCTTTATTATTTTTTACTGCCACTCAAATTCTTTTAAATATATTTAAAATGAAAATGATTTTCTCCGCATCAGAAATGCGGAATCATCTGTAAATGATTTTCTCCGCATCAGAAAACCACTGAAACATTTTAAACAACAACATTGAGCGTGCCTTTTTAAAGAAAATTTTTATCCTTGATTCTCATGGTAGGTTGGTATTTTCTATTTAGACATTTCCTTCCATTTCATTTAATGTAAAAAGATAAACAACTTACCTTTATTCTAAAAGCATCTATTCTATACTAGGAAGCTTTCACCTCACAGCTAGACCATACCAGATAGCCAGAAATTCCTTTGCAAGGAGTATCTTCTTCGAATGTGATGTTCTGTTTGAGAACCGAGCTGTTAAAACTGAAGACATTATCTCATTTGCTAACTTCAAGGTCTTCAGCTTTAAGAAAGCAATTGCCTATTCTGACAAAAATATGAAAAAGCTATTTGACTGCTTGTCAAATTTTATTTACAAGAGATTTAGTTCAAATGCATTCCTTGAACTTTATGATATAACATGTTCCTTTCTTAGGCTTTAGAATATAATATTTTCCTTATTAAAAAGAAATGAATAAAATTAATAGAAAAGTTAGCCTTTCCAGCTAGTGTTTCACGTAATCGTGTTCTTAACCATAGTGTGTGCTTTCAGTCAGCATTATTCTCAAGGAAACCTAACGATTAAAAAATTTCCTATTTCGTTACGCTGAAATGAAAGTTTTCCATTATTGGTTAGTTATTTATTGAAAACTTTCGTAGTTCTCTTTCGAATGAAAATGTGAGAAGTAGCTTATCTACTGAAATATAAAATTTTAAACTTTCAAAGATAAAGAATAAAAATTTACACTCAAAATCCTGTTGCTTAAAAGGAAAACTTATAAATTTAATTCTTTAAAACCTGTTATTATTGACAGACTTTTCTCTTTAATTAGCTCTCTTTAAGCTCTTAGAATACTAAACTTCTCATACCATTATAAAAAATGTTTTATAAGAAATGTCCTTCTTCCTTATCGCGAGTCTTCCTGATGTAATTCGAAGCAAATACAACGAGCAATCTGCTGGTCCAGCATTAGAAATAGTCTAATTGGATTTCTCATTTATTAGCTATAAAATTGCATGAAAATTGCATAGATAACCGCGCAACCGGTATAGTAGTTAGTGTCGCTGACTGCCGTGGCACGGGTACGGATCCCGGAGAAGGCATGGATGTTTGAAAATGTATAGTTTTCGTGCGGCATGGGGGCACTCTAAATACGCGGTGGATCGAAAGTCCTCTCGATCAGGTTGGTGGTAAGGAAGGAGGGGTGGGAGACCCTCGGGGTGCTCTCCATCAGTATTGGGGGGCGGCAGAACTGAGCTAAACCGCACTGTCATCTGTAAGGTGCTTAAGACCGTTGCCAACGACAGGCGTATCATGCGCTCTTTGTCACGAAGAATTTCGTGACTATAGGTCAAACAAGTGAGCATTAGTGAAAAAAATCTGAAAAGTTTCAGATTTGAAATTACGTCCAAAGGGACGTTTTTTTTTAACGTTTTGTGTGTTACTTTTATTTATTAAATATCATGTTCTTTGCACTTAAACCATAAAATTCAGTTCAATAGCAATGTCGCAAAAATAATTTTAAAATGAGCGTACCTTTAGAATTTCCGATACACAGTTCCGCGCGCTGGAGATAAAAGGATTTTTTTCCCCGTAGAGTGTTGCCATTGCTCGCTTTGAAATCCTTGATTTTGTTAATCAAAAATTCGTTAAAGTTTTAGAACTATGAAATCGATAAAAACAAATCAAAATTTCAAATTTGGTCTTCACATGCCCATTTCGTATAGGAGGATTACGTCATTCAAAATTCGATGGCTCTAGGTACCGTTGCTTTATCACAATGCGAGAAATATACATATATTTATGCATATTTTTCATTATTTAATTTCCTCAAATATAATACAGGACTCTGATTTTGGTGGCAACAGTTTGAAAAGTGAAACGGGCATTTATAGTGATTCAACGCAAAATCTCAAAACGAAAACTATAATCCTTCAAGGACAAAGCCCCTTTGGACTAAACAACAACTGCACAGATTCTTCCCTAGTTCAACTTTCAAGTGATTTTCCTTTTTATAAATGAAATTAATTATTTGAATCTTGAAAACATTGCCTAGGATCCGAAATCTTCGGGAAATCTACTGCTGCTCCCACTAGAGTGCTTTTCAACACTATAATCAAACAACGAAAACTTGGATCTTTCACGTCAAAATCTTCAGCATTCAAGTTCATTTATGACTTTTCCGTGAAGCTAACTCTTATCGTACCTTGACTCTTTCCAGAGGTATTCAATTGGGATGATTTTCTTTTTATTTTTTTCAGACGGGAGATACTAGATCCTCGTAATATTGAAGCCACACGTAAAGAAATTGAGGAATGCAGTGAACAAATTATTTCCTGCTATTACGCCGAATATAATAAATACAGAACTATCGATGGAAGCTGCAACAATTTAAAGCATCCTACCTGGGGTAAATCAGATAACTGTCTGAGAAGAGTATTGCCTTTCGATTATGCAGACAGTACGTATACTAAGTATTATTAATTCAAAAATATAAGCTATACTTTTTCTTTCTATATATGTATGTCTCATCTGTATCTATATATATATATATATATATTAAGTGGAAGGTTATTTATTTATATGAACTTCTCTAAGCAATTATTTTAAGAACCGATTTTTTATCTTATTTTCAAATATTAGCAAATATTTTTGTTGTTGTTTCTGATGTTCTCGCATGATCTGTTTGAACTTTAGACATTGCATAAACAATTATTTTAAATATTTGCTTTAAATAATATTTATGTGGTAAACTTTGCCTGAAATAATACAAAAGAGCATTTTAAAGTTATGAAAAAACACTTTAAAGACGAAATTTCTGATGCATACGAAATTCTCTGTCTTCGTATTTGTTAATGTTACATTGGCAGGCCGCCCAGACGGTATAGTGGTTAGGGGAACCTGGCTGCGATACCAAAGTGCCCGGGTTCGAATCCCGGAGAAGGCGTGGATGTAAAATCGTCTGTCCCTTCATAGGAGATAACGGTGGCCGCCTATTAGGTGCCTCCATAATAAAATGGTCACCGCTTCTGGCTTTAGTAGTGGCCAATACCGTTATAGGCAAGTGCCCGCCATTTGTGGAAAAGAAAAAAAAAACGTGTTACATTGGCAGCTCACTGTCAAATCATTTCACTTGTCCTTTCTATGTGTTTACCAGATTTTCACTGCAATTCCATTGTATAGAAACTTATTTGAATAGAAGTTTTGCGTAATATGTTTTAGTGCATGATTATTCCAAATATATTAAAGTCAGCAAAAGCATCCATAAGTAGTTTGGAAACATCCCACGCTCTGGGAAGAAACAGCGAAGTTATTCTCAAACGTATTCCAGTGTTCAATTGAAAGAAAAACAGTTTGTAGAATTTTAAATTAGCTAAAAAAAAGTTTAGATTGGTATATATTGCAAATAAAATTCTATCAATTTCAAAAGTAAGTATATTTAGATCTCCCATCTTAAGAAGCAAAGTGCTTCGATTCTGAAGAAGAGGGTCTGATCCCCTTTAAAATCTATAGAACTTTATCACAAAAACTGAAGTCAAATTTATTATTTACTTCCTAATTTTAAATGCGAACTTCTTATAAAAATATAGTTAAATAACTGAATGTTTAACTAAATGTTCAATTAGACTTTTATTAGGTTTTAGATATTACAACATCGTCTAATGTAGTCAATATTTTGAAAACACTTTTAAATTTATTTGAAGAAAAGTGTTTTAAATTTTCAACTTAAATTCGTGTGACACATTGAACTCAAAATTCCTCTTGAATCATATGAATAGCATAGAAAACTCCAATAATCCAGACCCGAAAGGAAATGGATATAAACTCTAAAGTATAGAACTTTCCTATCTACGAAAACGATGTTTTAACGGCGGATGTTAAAGCCTTGTCGACACAAAAATTCCGTACAAAGAAAACATATTTACTCAGGTATCTTATTTTCCTCGATATGAAAGAATAACCATTACGAAACAACAAAAATTCCGCATAAAATAAACACTGTTAAAGCAAGCAACTAAACTGCCATTGAAACTCATGGGCCCACTGGTGCGTAGCTAGCAAACATAAAGGCCCCATGCTAATCTGTGTATGTCAATTGACTTGCCATTAATAAAAATATATTTGTCATGGGGGCCTCCAACACACTGGTTTGCTTAGGGGCGCATAATGCTGTTAGGACGGCAGTATAGGAGAAATCTATATACATATCAAAATCATAAATTGCTAAGTGCTCATTCTTTTACTGTATATAAAAATTACGTTACTAATGCGGTGACAAAAATTTGAACTTTCGTTGCCTGCATTAATCTGCATTGATAGCCTGAAACTTTTTATCATTAATAGCCTGCATTGATAGCCTGAATTTTTTTAATGAAACGTTTTATCCAAATATATAGGAACAAGTTTTAGAAGAAGCATTTAGAGTGAAAGTCTTTTTCAAACTGCTTAAAATTCCAAAGTATTACCTCTATATGAAATGCTCCTTCTAAAGCTTGTTCCTGTACATTTGAATAAAGTATTTCATTAATTTAATTTGGGCAGTTCAAGCTGCTTGCATTAATCTTTAACTGAAATTACTGAATAGCAAGAGATATTGCGTTTCTAAATCTCTGGTCATTTTTTTCGTTACTATTGATAAGTTCAAACCTTAAAACTTATCAGTAACAGGCACCTCAATTGGCCTCCGAAATAACATTCATACCTTTTATGAGTATATTCAATTAGCTGTCGTCTCACTCTAAACTTAATCTACAAGAACACAGTACAATAAATAGCAATAAAATAATGATCTTTTAATTAAAAAATAAATTATTTAAAGACGTGAAACTCCTGCCAGAAAATCACTTTTTTTAAAGTAGTAGCTGCAGTAGTAGCAGCTTTTGTAAAACATTATATGAAGATTTGTTGTAAGCGAATATGTCTATCTCCTTCGTGTAACTTTACATTTCATGTGAAGAGAATAAAGCGGGCATGTGCTTTTTTTATGCATCATTTAAATCATTTCAAATTTTCTGGCAACGATCGGCGCGTACGAGTGCAATTATGACTGGAAAGAGAGTTTGAAACTATGTCTAAGACTTGTTAGAAAAATCAACATCAACCTCTAAATCGTAGTATGCAGTTTTCTGTATTACGATTGGTGCAGCTTGAAAGTAATTATTACAAATTTAAATTCTTCAGAAGTATAAAAAAATTTTAATTAAAAAAAATTATGCATATTTTGTCATTGTTGTATATGGCGATTCTTTATCACCCCATACCATGGTGATAAAGAATTGTCTTTTGTGGTGTGGTTATCATATATGGTTTTTATCTTTATGGTATATGGTAATACTAAAGCCGAGCTTTTGAAAATTTTATTTCAGAAATATCATTTCCACGAGTGTCATGCAAAAACAAACCGCTGCCAAACCCTCGATTGGTATCAAACGTATTTCACAAAGAACTAAAGCCCAAACCTGATGGACTGACAACGCATTTCATGGAGTGGGGTCAGATGCTTGCCCATGATTTATCACTTAATGACATCTTTAGAACTCCAGGTATGTTTTTCAAAGTTTTCTTCCTTCTTATTTTTTAACTTACATTCCAATAGCAGCATTTTTTCTTTTCAACATTCACAAAGTACTAATAATTAAAACTGATAATTTCGGAAGTCAGTATAATTTTGGATTTCGAAATATTTTTACAATATTATGTTTAGATTTATATTTGGTAATTTTAATACAAATTTGAGAGCTTGGTTTCGCATCCACTTACGATAATATTATGACTATTCTCATTGATACTTAAATATATTATTCATATACCATTAAGGAGGATAATAAAACAGTACACTGAATTTGCTAAATGTTAAATATTTCTGCATCCTCCAAAACATGGCATATTTTCTATATAATTTAACATACTTCATGATTCTTAGAATTTAAGATAAAATTTATCGCATGTATTGATAAAAAATAAAACATAAGTAAAAAATATTTCAATGTTGAAATTTCACTCCATTCAGATATGAATCTTTCAACTTAAAATAATATATAAATAGAATTCCATTAATATATAATTAATATATATAGGTACTAAATAATTCTGCATAATTTAGAATTATTTTTATTGTATAATGAAAACACTTTTCAGAGTGTTCTCAAATTATAGAGCATTATTTATATCTGAAATGTTTCTTCTAAAACTTGTTCGTGTATATTTGGATAAATGTTTTCATTAATTTAAATAATATCTTAGCAGCTTAATCACGTGATCAAGAATATCAGGAACTAATTGCCAAAATGCACAAAAACTTCACTCATTTATGTAAATAAAATCAGAACTGCTGTGCTCTGTGTTCAGTAAGGACATAATTATTGAGTTATTATGTTCTTACTTATCCCAAAATCTCTGTATTCTGCGTTATCACAAAATATTCATGTAAAATTAATTTTCTTAATGAATAATTGTGGGAACGATCGCACCTAACTATAGCAAGGTGCATAGAATATTTGAATACAATTACTTAATTTCATTTTATGCGTTATGTGATCATTCTATATTTGTAAATTAAATACACAAAGCTATTGAATCAACCATTTTGATCAACCAATTTCGTATTAATGAAGGAATTTAGGTCAAATGACAGAGATATCGTAATTTTCAGCCTATATTGCTCATTAAAAAAATATTAATGTTTTTTCAGAATCCGGATTCAATGAAGCCATACCATGTTGCATTCCCGGCCCGCATATCAGTGATACATGTTATTCCATTCCTGTACCTCCCAAAGATCCATTTTATCCTAAATTTGGACAGACTTGCATAAATTATGCCAGAACAGTGCCATGCCATCGTTGCAGAGCAGGTGAGTCTTTTGCTTTTATTCTGGTATTCATTACATAGAGTATTTTTTCATGCACAGCATTTGCTATGAATGTTTATTAGAGAAGATTTCTATTGTTATTTATTATCATTATTATTCTCATTTCGGTCATGCAGAATATATTCTTTTTCATTCGAAACATTCAGTGTAATTATTTATTGGAAAATCACACTGTATTACAATACTCGTGTACACAATACACTATTTCGCACTGTTCATTCTTCTTATTACTTTTTCCGAAATGGCAACTATTTTCTTAAATAATTAGGAACGTTTTCTATTAACAAATATACCATAAATCCATACCTTTGTTAAAATCTGTATATTTGTATTAAGTGCTTCAAAAATGGAAGCTTATTTCAAAAAGCTTGAAGTTGAAATACCAAAGTATTGATTTCAGTGATTTTAAAGAAAAACGCGCTAATGGTTTACGCATAATTAATTGAAAGCACTGAAATATGGATATTAACACTTACATTAAAAATTAACTTAATGTTAAAACACAGATCAACTCATCGTACATACGTAATTATTCGGGGAAACTACCCTTGTGCTTTCATGAACATGTTCATAAAGAACAATATCCGCGCAAAGGTTTTACATCCTATTTCTTCAGAAGAGAACAAATTTAAAATTTTAGAGTGTTCGATAGCAGTGAATGATAAACCTGTGACATGAGCGTCATAAATACAGGCGAACCTATTTTGGATGGCAGGCATGGCTCATTTCCAGATCCGTCGACGGAGACAAAAGATTGCATAATACACAAATATTTGTCTTTGTAACCGCCTCGTTAGTCTCAACATATGCTGCACTTACTTTGAATGCGTTCGAGGGCATTCTTAGCTGACCGATGACACAGATGGCAAACGGATGATTCTATGTGACACGAAACTAGAGTTGTTTCCAATTTTTACACGTCGAGCTCGAAAGTTTCGCAATCATTGCATATGGTATACCTCCCGCCTTCCTAGTGTGCCTTCGTGGTGTGGAGGTCTGCACGCTGGCCAGTATTCCAGAGGTCCGTGGTTTGATTCCCGGCGAATGCGTAGCTAATTTTTCATCTTGACTGCTTCCAAAAAATGCCTAATGTCTCTACAGTAGCGCCCGAACTAAAATGGTGATGGATAATGATTCTCCTCGCCCAGAATTTGGCGATTGGTTTCCTAGTCGCCCTTTAAAAGGGGGAGTATATAAGGTATTTCTCCCGCCCTCCTAGCGTGCCTTCGTGGTGTGGTAGTCTGCACGTTGGGCCGGTATTCTAGAACTCCGTGGTTCGATTCCCGGCTAAGGTGTTGCTAATTTTTCATCTTGCCTGCTTCCAAAAAATACCTTATGTCTCTACAATTGTTCTATAGGACTGATCGCATCATATCTGCTAGTCTGAGTTGGCAATATTGCCAGAAGACATATGCGCATGCGAAGACAGCCGAAATAATATCACACTTTGCATAAGGCAGAATAGATACCAAACATTATTTCCAAAGATCTACACTGATGGTTCTGGTATAAACAACGGAAAAAGAGGCTATAAAAATATATCTCAATAATCATGACACAAAAGACTTCAGTTCCAACTTGACAAGAGATAGCGTTTTTCAGTCGGAAATGTTCAGGATTCTGCAGGCAATCAACGTAAGCATACATCATCAGTTTCCAATTACTTACATCTATACAGATTGTCTCTCGGCAATGCACGCACTCGCGAACTCAAATAATAGATCATCATTAGCTCAGGGAATTCTTAGAAAGTCCTCCAATGCCAAAGGGCCAACACTTCTTTATAATCTGGATCAAGGCCCATGTTGGTCACAAGTGGAACGAAGTGGCTGACATATTAGCCAAGGAGGCAGCACAGGGAATCAATGCCATGAAAATAAGCATCCTCTGGCCATCTTCTCACCTGAAACTAAAACTACAAATCACAACTAAAGAATTACGGCAACCATGGTGGGACGCTGCTACAGGCAGAAGAGTTTACAACCTCTTCCCTAAAATTGACTCGCCTCCTATCCACCACGTACCTCTATGCAAGAAATCTCTCTTCATCAGACTCCTATGCATTTAGTGAAAAGGGTCATCCCGGACACTATCTATTTTCCTGCCCATTTACAAATTCCCTTCATCTAAAGGAGCCAATTCAAAAGATGATTTATTCCCATTTCTAAGATATGCAGTCAAGAATAAGCACTTGAGGAATAAATTACGAAAGTTATTGACTTTTTGGCAGTTAGAAGTCAAGAGCTATGTAGTGTAATTTACCGTTCAAAGAAATGCTCCAGCAACAGCGAAATAAAGTAATTAAATGCAGATATAATGTACGTCAGCGTACCATTACAGGAAAGAAATAAGCATCGCAAACCATATGAAGTACAACATAGGTCCCTCACAAGTAGGGTAAGGGTCTATTATCTATTTACTTAGGGTAAATAATAGATAACCCCCTACATTTCCATGTAATATAAGGTAGCATCACCTGAAAAGGGAACACATGTAATAAATTGCCAGCATTGAGTTGGTAAAGTATTAACAGCGTAATGCATCATGAAATGTAATTCTTGTAAACTAATCCTTGTAACAATACGCGAAATTGCATACAATGAACTGACAAAAATAAGTTGGCAATGTATCAGCATATGTATGCAGATATATCTAAGTATGTAGTACGCATAAATATACTGATGAAGCTATTTTAATGATGTAAACAAGTCATGACTGTAGAGATGATCTATAAACTAGAAATAAGTAGCTTCTAGCCACCACACAATTTATAATGTCACGATCAAACTTTACATGTAAATAATAACGTACTGCAATACATGCACAGCAATAATGCAATTTCTGAAAATCAATTATCACAAAAACATACGTTACAGCACATAAAGAATCATTAAAATTTCAGCACAACTTGACAACAGTACTTAAATGTAAGCTTTGTGAACAATTTTTTAGTTCTTACTTAATTCTGATAGTAAACACTGACGTAAACAGACCATGTTTACAAAAATGATTTCTAACGTTGGAACATCACGCCTGTTTCTACTGCAATATATAATGCCCTAAAACATGTTGCCTGTACCCACTGCAATAGATAACATCTGGAAATATGCACCTGCATAACTATATGTGTATATCGCAAAGTATATTATGTAATGTAATCATTTTACTTCAGCTAATGTAAAAGCTGAAAGGTAGGAGTGTCGTTGATGCCGCCGGCGGTGGCAGTAGTTGTAGTGCTGGCTGGAGTCACAATTTCCATCACGACTCGAGGAATGATGCCTGAATGTTGTTAGTTTTCTAGTTAGTGTGTGTGGCTAATACCTACTTACTTAGGGTAAATATTAGGTGGTCCCTCTCACTTCTACATAACATAAAATAACATATGCGCATATATGTCATACTGGCATTTGCAAAGAGTCACTAGTCACGAAGTACATTTTATTCTCCGTGAGTATATAGCAGACCGTTTAGCCGGTGCACTTACGGATTGCAGCCTCCATTAGAATAGCTCTTGTCACGGACGCTCATTGAAACAGCGGAACAGTGAAAGCCAACACAGTTCCAGGCAAGAGTGCTCGAGAATATGATTGGATTCCAACAGGATGGCGCATCAGGAAGCGCAAAGTTGGCTGTACTTGGACACTATAATCTACTAGTTCACGTCATGGAAGCCCTTCCGCATCTCCTTGAATAGTGTGTCAACATTATTTTCAAGGTTCACTGACGTCTTTGTTGCCCGTAATTTCACAACGCAGAAAATGTTTATGTATGCACATATTTGCGATCGGCATTTCACTCTCATAGCTTTCTTTAGCATCGTCTCTCCTGCCCTCAAGCGACTTTCAGTGTACGTTTCTCGGCTTAGGGAATACGAAACCTTATTCAACGAAGTTTGACGTCCGACATGACTAATTAGGAGCATGCTTCTTCATCATGCTGGTTTTTGTAATCACTTAAATTTAGTACAAGCACTTCCAATCTTTCAGTTGTTATTTAAAGTCGATAGATAAAATACGCGCCGCCTTTGTTAATCTTGCCAATTAAGTACTAAATTATAAATTCAAAGCATTGACTAAAGATTTCAAGCTTCCATTTATCTTACACACATAATGAAAGAAGACGAAATAAATAGCCTTTAAATGCATAATCTTTCCCCCAATCTGAACTGCAGAATTTGTCGAAGTAACTTTGTTTTGTGATGGAAAACTGCAACATTTTGCAATTTTCAGTGTTTATGGCTATCGTATCCTTCAATAATTATTTTCTGTTTCCTTTTCAGAAGTTTACAAACTTTATTTTCTAAAGTTCTCAAACTCCTACTTTATGAGGATATATTCGTCTCTCAAATTTATTCATTTCACAGTAATTCGAAGTATAACTTTCTTCTAAAACTGGCACCTCTAAATTTACTTGTGGACAATTAGCATTCTACCATCCCTTCATTTTAATTACTCCAGTATAAACATATTTATAAACTTAATCAATGTTTACCTTACAAATGATGATTTGTGATGCTTTTAAACAGTTCAAATATTAGGTTTTTTTATCAGTATTTTTATCAATTTATTTCCTACCAGTCCTTAAATATTTTACACCTAATAAGCATATATATATGTCACATTCTTGCTTTACTAATAGGAATGTACCGACCAGTTTCATCTTATTTTATATCACTTTGAAAAACGGTATTTATGTGACACTGAAAAACATTAATTATTATGTGGAAAAACGTGGCTTTTGATAAAATGATAAAACTTAATATAAGGGAAGGCCACTATCCTTAATAATATGGGTCATTATGATGGGTAGAATTTGATTATGATTTAATAATACTGATATTTTGCAAAGTACATCTCATATTATTACTCTGATACGAAGTCTATGCGAGAGAAGATTGTTGTATCTAGAGATTCTGTTTCTTACTTTTGATATTTCCAAGAAAGCAAGAAATGCTAGTATGCAGTATGTTTTGCAAACAGCGAAGTTTTTTATGCTTGTAGTGCATTTGGAAACTTACTTGATGCATTGTGAATTCAAAATACTTAATTAAAATCTATGTGATCAGAAATTACAATTTTTCACATTCGTTTCCTGTCAATTAGGTCAGTTATGGTAAAATTATATTTTAGGACAACGAGTTCACTGGAACCAAAACACTGCGTATCACGACCTTTCTCTAGTATATGCTAGTACAGAAGAAGAGGCTCAGAAGCTTAGAAGTGGAATTCACGGTAAGTGGTTCGCCGTAAGTTTTTTTAAATTATTCCTCAGTAAAAAAAAAAAAAAAAAAAAAAAAAAAAAAAGAAGATGAGGAAAACAAACTAAATGATCAACAGCTAAATGCTATTTATTATTTCATTATCTCAATTTTTAAAATTACTTTTTTTAATAAACAAGTTTCAAATATCAAATACTGTATTACTAAATAATTTTATTTTTAAATAATCTTGTTATTAAAAATAATTAATTAATGTTTAATTACAATAATAATTAAATTATTAAATAATATTGTTTTTAATTTTGTTTCATTTATTAACATTTCAGAAAATCAATGTACAGTAATTATTAAAGCCTAATGGTCAAAGCAAACAATTAGGCCGATCTCAACATTATAGGTTTCGAAATGAATTTTTACGTTAAATGTTATAAAAACGTTCCCTTATTTAACATAAACAAAATTGAATCTGAGAGCGACATTTATATCAAATAAGAATTTGTAATGTACTTCAGAAGATTACCTAAAGCGAGCCATTATTTATTAGAACAAATATTTTGTCGCCGAAAGGTGATTCATTATTCACTACGTAATCAGGAATATTAACATATTCATTATTTCAGGTATGTTGGATGTGGAATATAATCGTAAATCCGGACCTATGCCACCAACTGTGCATGTTGAAGAATTGTGCATCTCACCACCTCGCGAGAAGAGCTGCTATAAAACAGGTATACATTACTCATAATAAAAATTTAATTAAGTCATCAAATAATTTTCATATTCAATCATTTATTCTTTAACATTATTCTTTGCTGCACTGTACAGCTGCTTAATTTTACAATGATAACCATTATGTCAGTTTAAATTTACTATTAGCAATTTACATCAGAATAAATTCTGTTCATAACCTGCGCTATTATATGACAAAAATGTTAACAAAATTATTTACATATAAACTGGCAAACTAGTCAATAGCTTATTGAATTTAAATAAAAATAGTTTGGCCTTTTTTTTTTTTAGTTTTTATGTTTTATACTGTAAACGATCTGTCTGAGATCCTATTTTATTTAACAGGAAAATGGATGATAAAAAGATGTTATATATGTGAATCGTGTAGCAATATGCAATATATATACATAGCATATATAAACATGAATATGCAAATTTAGTGCAGTTTTAAGAATAATTCAAGTATTTGTAGCAAAGCATTGATAGTCTTCAAAAATTCTTTAGAAAATAAAACCTTCTAAATAATAATAATTTCACCTTTTTCAAAGTTTTATACAAGTACTCGAAATTCGTAAAGTTTCCAGGGATTATTATAAGAAACTTTAAAAAATGGGCTATTTAGAATAAGAGAATTTTAAAAGGAATATCTTGAGAAAAGAAGAGCAAGCAGAATAGTTTTATCAAACTGTTATATTGAAAAGAAGACTGCATTAGTGTGCATGTACATGAAGGATGAAATATGCAAGGCAAAATAATTATGTGCTACCACTAAAAGTAGTAGATTGTTTTAATTAATGGTGTTCCAGCAATGCTGAGTGGTTAGGATCGCTGAAGTCTTAGAGTTCGACCAGCCGAATGGGCTCTCTACATGGTTGGTTTTCATGGTTACCCCTATGTGATATGAATATGAGCCAACTTTCTTTAAAAATTACTTCACGAAGGCATCCCTTATTTTGCACAAAGAGCCTTCTTGTACTTTCCCATATTCCAATAATCTAACCTACTCTTATTCTGGTGGTTTCCGTCAAAAGAGAGACAAACTTTTCTATAGCTTATAAAAATAAGTGGTTTACGAAAATACATTATTATTTAGCTATAAATAATATATACAATTCAGGCTATGCTGTAGATATTTCTTTTTAGGAGAGGACAGTTTTACATAGACTGTTGACCAAATTTATGAAATGAAGCAAAAGAGATTCAGTAATTTCGAGTATTTAATCGTCATTCCCATTTCACAAAAGGAGCTTCTTTTCATTATGGTCCGAGATTATTTTAAAAAATTCTATTCAAGATAATTCTAAAAATTCATCAGAGAATTGACATCTAACGCTGCAACAAATGTAAAGATTTTATCCTTAGTCATCATAATGAACGTTCATAAACTATATATACTTCATCAAAATGAAAAACAAAATCTTACTTCCTTATTTTTACATGCCTTATTCAATAATATCCCAAAATGTGAAATTAAATGCTTGGACTCTCAGGTGCTTATTATAATGTCTCAAAATCTTTTTGTACAAAATTCCTACATTGAATTTTATCAAAATATCAAACGACAAAAGTAATCTTCCTTCAATACATTGCACTGAAATATAGAAACTACTATAATATACAATTAATTGTATATTACTGTAATGTACTATTAATAATATTTTTCCTGTTTTCATTTGGAAGATATATGAGAGTGAATCACATTAAGTATAAAGAATATTTATTAATATTTTTCATGATTTCTTTTACAATGTCTTTTTCTTTTTAAGGGGATATGAGAGCAAATCAAAATCCTTTCTTACTTACTGTACATACCTATTTATTAAGACACCATAACTTCATTTGCCAAGAACTTCATGAAATCAACCCTCACTGGGATGATGAGAAACTCTATCAAGAAGCACGGTAAGTTTAATTATTTATAGCCCATTATTTTTCACAACGTTTTAACTTGACCTAATAATTTTCTTACTTGATAACAGTCTCATAAAGTAGCTTGTTTTATGCTCTGAGTTTTTAAAAAGCATTGAAAAACGGGAAGAAAAATCATTTGCTTAATTTAATATGTGTGTTGACTAAAAATTTCAACTCACATATCCGGATACAAACTTTTTTGTCAAAATGAATGAATCATCGATCTTAAAGCTATAACAAAAGTAAAATAAACACAGTATTCCATGATAGAAAAGATAGTGCAGAACATATAAAATGAATATATTTGTTACAAAATGGTTCTTCTCAAACAATAAGGATTAAGGATTATTCTCAATAAGGATTTTGTTTTCAGGCGTATCAATATCGCTGTAGCCCAGTACATCACATATGGTCACTATCTGCCAAATGTCTTGGGAGAAATCATGCAAAAAGAAGGGATTAATATTCTCCCAGGAGCAAAATATACGCAGTATGATCCAGAGCTGGATGCTAGCATTGCAGATGAGTACGCCACATGGGCCGCACGATATGGTCATACGCTCGTTCCCGGACGCATATCAGAAATTGATCCCAAAACTGAATCAAAAGATACTGTCTGGCTACGAGATTTTTACTACACTCCATTTGGATTCAGGTATGGACAATATGACAAAGTTGCAAAGGGGATGACTGTTGATAGGAAGATGAAACATGATGTGTTCTTAAGTAAGTTCTTTTTTACTTGTTTATTAAACAGTCTAAGTGACGCCATAATGTATACACATTTAACCCATGCATGTATATAAACCTACAATAGCATGAATTCTGTAATATAAAGCATAGTAGATTAACATTTCTCAGGCAGTTTTGATACATATATTTATCAAAAATGATTCCAACTCCTCGTGTTCCACAAAGTACACCACTAGGCTTACACAAGTAAGTCATAGCACTAATAAAATAAATAAACAAATATACAATAGCACTACAAAGGAGGGGAAGTTATCCAAAAGTAAAAAAAAAAGAAATAAAATAAAAAGTAAAAAAAAAAATTAAAGAGAATTCAATGATCTAAATTGAGAATGGTATTCTGAAAAACAAATATTGGCCCTTTAGTCCGTAAAAAATCAGAAAAATTGGTGGTCAAGATATAGACAGGTGCTTCAAAGTTGCCTGAAGTATCTTCCTCTGATGGACATGATGAACGCAGTCGTGATTTGCTTTTCTCATTTCCAAAATTTCCACATTGTCCACGAACGTAAGCAAAATGAATGTCGATATTAAGGTATTGCGAGGTCCTAATAATAACCTGAATTTCAACAGCTATTTTCTCTGAAATAATAATTTTCTGTAACAATTGTAGCTAAGAAAGAGAATCATTACATATTAAAACGCGCACTGTTCTCAAACCACTACAAGAATTTTGAATCCATTTTACAGCAATGTATAAGTATAGCAACTCAGCCTGGAGGACTTATCTGTAATTCTGTACTGTTTGAAGGTTCTTTTTAGTTTATCTTCCTAAACAACAAAAGTAAGGCCAACCTTACCATTTATTTTACTTCCGTCTGTAAAACAAATTAATTGGTATACTTCAAGAACAGCATCAGGAATCAAAAACAGATACTGCTAGAAATTTGTTTAAGAAAATTGACAGAATTCACAAAAGCTAATTATCAGCTCTATGCAATAACTTTTCTAATTATACATTTCATTAATATTTCTACTTCCGGAATAATCATATATAAAGCAGAAAATTTCTGTTGATTTCATCTCAGTAAACAATAAAATAAAACTTTCTATTAAGTATACGTTTTTGTAAAGAAATGATTGAATTCCTATAAAATCTAGCTTCTTTCTCTAAATATTACTTGTTAGACTTGAAGTCAAAATTAGCTTTCTGCAATTCTGCATACTTGTAATTTTTTTCCAGTTTATTAAGAAACTAAGAATAGGCTTTCAGAAAGAGATAGGCTTAGTTAATTTTCCTTATTTCTCCAGTATTAATGAACATTTTGCCAAATTTTATCCTCAGTTTATTTTCAAGAACATTGAATTTTGACATGACAATATTCTTAACTTAAAATATCTATGAAAATTTTCATAAATTCTAATCAAATTATTAAAACTATTTTTCAAGCAAAACAAAACAATTAATTAAATTTAATGTACGTAATATTCTAGTTGCCAAAATCAACATCATGCTATTATGCATTGTGAAAATATGTTGTATTAATGACAAGATATATTAGATTTGCATTGTTCAGATTTTTCAGCACCCTATTTTGTTATAATATTTCATGCGTAGTCTACTTATACAGTGGAGAATTTTGTGAATTTTTCCATGTAAGCATCCAGGAATCATTTCCACGTTCCACAATGTATCTTTGTTATAAACTTGTAGAGACATTAGGTACTTTTTGGAGGTAGGAGGCTTGAAAAATTAGCAATGACTTCGCCGTGAATCGATCCACGGACCTCTGGAATACGCGCCCAGCCTGCAGACCACTACACCACGAAGGCACGCTAAGAAGGCGGGGGGAAATACCTTATAAACTTTTCGGAACGAAATTTAAGAATTGCTTTTACATTCCTTTCTAGAAATTTAAATAAATTTCCTTAAATCTTATGTTTCAAATCTGCATTTATTAGTAGAATAATATCTATTACAATAATATCTATTACTAGTAGAATAATATTTCCATCCTCGCATCATTCTTTATTTCATTCATCTGAATAAGAACTTTATTTACGGCAATTGAAAAAGTGTCTCAAATACTGCAAACAAGGAGAAACAATATAATGGACGAATATAAAACAGATTTTAGTGTATTGTTAACTGTAGTAGAAAATATAATGAATAGTATCTGTAGAAGGGCATATAATAAGGATTATATAGTTGTTTACACTATTTTTCAAAGTCGTCTAAACATATCTTTAGATCGCTTTAGGATGCAAGATAACATGCTACAAAAAGAATGGTCGTGTGTTCCACCTGGAAAGTAAATCGCGGAAGAAGCTCCAAATAGGAAGTCTTTTCTGTTTACACACTGTTTTTCCGCTGTTCGCGTTGGTGCAGATCTTCTTTACTTCCCCACTTTTATGGTCTTCCCATAATGGAATGTTTTTGAATCACTACTTTTCTTAATAGGCATGTTTGTTTTTCCAGTAGTCTTTTTTCTTCTTCCTGAAAGCTTATTCCTTCCAAAAGCTCGAGGCCTCTTATGCTCCAACAGGAAGTCACTTACTTACATGTCAAGGCATTTTGCTAGTGGTTCAATTTTTTTATTTACATTTAACTGTACGTTTTGTATAATGGAGATGAATTTTATTACTCCGACGCATTGCGAATAAGCATAATATACTATGCATAAAATATTGAGAATTGATATTCTTATCATTAAAATACATAAATAAATCATATTGTCCCATTGCCATGTAAAACTATTTTGTATTTCTTCTAGGTGATGATGTACGAAACTACCTGTACAGGCGACTATACTTAAATGAATCAGCTGGTCTGGATTTGGCCGCCGCCAGTATTGTAAGAGGCAGAGACCACGGAATTCCAGGTTACACGTACTATGTTGCCTATTTCTTCAACATCACTATTCATGATTTTAACGACTTGAGGAAACTACTTCCCGATAAATCTGTGGACCTCTTGGAGGAGCTCTTTGAGTAAGCAATATGTTATTTAATATCTTCTGCGTATCTTTAGGATACAATACTTTATTTCAGCTTCTTATAAACAATTTTATTACATTTGAAATGTTTCATTGCATTTGAAATGTTTCATTTTGATCGATAATTTGAAAAACAGCATTCACCACAATAGAAATGCCATTCCTCGTCGTGTTCAAATTGAAATTTTTTTTAAATTTTCCCAATCCATAAATAATTTAATCTATAAATCTATAAATTTTTAATTTGATTTATAAATATTAAAATTCTTTGCATTTTACATAAATTCCTGGGTTAATAAATTAAAAACTGCTATTAATATTTCTGTTGTCGGCACGGGAATTAGGCTTGCAAAAATATAAACTTTATATAAATTTTCAGCCCAAAATTACATTAGCAAGAATGGGCTATAAGTCTCGAAACGGGATTTTGAATCGCCCACTGTAAACAGTGAAACATTTTTCAGTTTTTGCCGCTAAATACTGTCACTCTCTATTATTCATTAATCAAACATAATTGTTGTAATTACATAATAAAGAATCTGCATGTATGTATGTATGTTCCTCGAATTGTGAAAAAACAACGGTACATACAACCATTAAATTTTGAATAATTTTGTACTGCGCCCGAACATATGCACTTGGAATCCCGAATTTTGAATTTCGAATTTTATATTTCATATTTTATGAAACTTTAATTAATTTTTGATTAACAAACTCAGCGATTTGAAAATGAGTAGTGGCAACAATGTACGGAATAAAACATTTTTATCTCCAGCGCGCGCGACTGTCTGTCGGAAACTCTAAAGATATGCTCTTTTCAAATATTTTTGATTTTGCAGAGAATTGAAGTTTATGTGATGTAAGTGCAAAGAACGTGATATCTAATAAATAAATTTTTACACACAAAACGCTAATAATAAAAAAGCACAAAAAGAATCTGAAAGCTTTCAGATTTTACATTAGGCCCAAAGGGTCGTTAATTTAACGTTTTGTATGTTACCTTTATTTATTAAATATCATGTGCTTCACACTTAAACCATAAAATTCAATTCAACATCAATATCACAAAATAATTTTAAAAAGAGCAAAGTTTTAGAATTTCCGATACACAGTCTCGGCGCGCTGGAGATAATGTTTTTTTTTTTTTTTTTTTTTTTGTTTTGTTTTGTTGCTGCTGCTGCTGTTGTTTTGTTTTTTTCCGTAGATTGTTGCCATTGCTCGCTTTGAAATCGTTGAGTTTTTTAATCAAAAAATCGTTAAAGTGTTACAAAATATGAAATCGACAATAAAACAAATTTAAAATTCCAAATTTAGGCTTCCAGGTAACCATATTCAGTAGAAGATTACGTTATTCAAAATTTGATGGCTCTAGGTACCGTTTTCTTATCCCAATGCGAGAAACATACATACATTTATGTAGAGTCTTCATTATTTAATTTCTTTAAATATAACACAGGGGGATAATATTTGGTGGGCAACAATTTGAAAAGTGAACAGACATTTAGACATTTAGAGTGAACCAACGCAAAATGCCAAAACGAAATGACTTCAGGGCAAATTACCTTTTGGGCTAAAAAGTTTTATAAACCATCTTATTAAGAAAACTAAACATTGATATGATGGACTGATAAAAGATTGAAAAAAATAGAAAAACATTATGCCAACACTTAACACTGTGCTGAGAATTCTACGCATATGTTTCTTTTAAGATTTTGTAATTTTGCTGTTGAAACGTGAATCACATATGGCATAAATGCGAAGAAAAGAGTGCTTAATAATATAGCTAGCAGGAAAAATCTGAGCTCTTTCAGATATTTTTTTCATTTTCAAGGTCTAAAATAGAAACGTTCAACTCTTGTAGATGAATTAATCTGTAATGCACGCTTCCATTTTGGTGATAAAGCGATAAAGCTTCTATTAACTTAAATTGCCACACTTTTTACTCATTCTGTTACACTGTTTGTAACTTAAATCAATATTCCGTCTTAGCAAAAATTAAAACTGTTGTTACTTAAATGGCGTTAATTGCATTTAATCATGTAGAACAAAACATTTTTATGCGACTTACTTAAGAAAGGGGCGAGGAACGGTTTCAGAACTCGCTTTTTGCATTTAGCTCAAATTCTATAGAATTAAAAAAGAAATAATTTAACTACATCGTGTAATACCAATTAATATATTATCATTTTTTAAGAAAATTAATAACTCATATTTAATACTATATACAAATATGACGTTTATCAATGATTTAAGCTTTGTATACCTCATTATGTCGTAATTTATTAAAAGTATAGCTACAATGTGCTTGTGCTAAGGTTTTAGAAGTGCTGAACCCCATATATGTAATCACGATTTTGAGGTTTTATAAGCGGCCGGTGTTTATTATTATAAAGTTGTTTCAGAATGCTTTTTTCTATTATTTTTTTCCTCTTTTAAAGTGTAGACTCAGAGAAATTAGTAACATATTTTGTAATAGTTAATGCTTTTTTTTTTCGAAACTTTTATTACCAGTGCAATTTTTGAAGTGGCATCATAGATTATAAATTACACGAATTTCAAATATTCATTTGTGATGCTTGAAATGATTTTAGCCAAATTTTCTAGGCCTTTACGTAACATTACATTCTTATGCTATGTATTATCGAATGGACCTAGAGGGTACTGTCATTGCCCAAGTTATACAATCTTTAATTTAGTTACTGCGCGGCCTGGAAAATAGCCAGTTTCTCAAATTTTGCCTCTCAGTGTTGTAAAAATCTTTAGTTTGTCTTCCAAATTATAGCTGCATTCCCTAAAAAATGAAGTGATTACAAAGCATTAAACGCACTTTAATTTTAATTTTAATTATACTTATTACTGATGCAATTTAAAATACATTAAATTTATAATGCATTCAGACATCAGTATTAACATTTGCAGTGTTATTTTAATTAATAAAAGGTATTCCTAGCGCCTGTTATTACATATCTCTGTCCAGATTTGTTTCATTTTTATGGTATGTAATAGGCAGTAAAAGTTTCGCAGCTTCTAAAAATAGCGCAACATTTTTAATATTTTTGAAAATGTACATATAAGATAAATAAAAAAGTTTAACAAATTAAATGCTAAAGTAAATAAGATAAAATATATAAGGCATTTTATCTTAAATAAATTATATTACATATAGAAGAATGGGGATCGCAATATTTGTGTATGCTTGACATTAAAAAAGCTAGTTTCGTAATGAATCTTTAAGAAACAAATAACTTAATTAAGTTTTGTATGTGTTTAGCTTTGAATAGCTACAAGTAACACTCTTTTTACAAGCTATACATTTTACGAGCATAATAAAATTAAATCAGTCCTGACAATTAAAGTTTACTTAAAATTATCTGTAATTAGAGCTTTTTGATATACAGCACAGACTTTCAGAGAAAAATAGTTTAATCAAATATTTGACCATAGTTCTGAAAACGGGTAAAAAAAAATAAATTTAGGAATTTTTTATTTGGAAAAGTAAAGAATTAAAAAAACGTTATGAAGAAAAGGGGCTTGCCATGTGTAGGAAAACTCAAAATTAATTCTTGCTTTAGTTTCTAGAATAAAGACTTATTTTCTTCAGAACACAACAATTAATATACCTTGCAAGCAGCTATTTGACTTAGCAAATAGCTTTAAGACCAAAGAATATTAATAATTCAACAAACTTCTGATAAACCGTTGAATGCATGAGAGGTTTCGACGATTTTGCCATGTGTAGTATGAATGGGAGCCTGTTTACCTTAAAACTCCTCCGAAAAGGTACATTCCTCCGAAAATCACGCAACAGTAAAAGTGTTGCGCGATTTAAACAAATAAGGCCTGGCGTGTTTATTCAAATAGACCTAGCTGCTTTCTGTTGATAAATACTTAAGAGTTTAGCAAAAGCACACTTGTTTCAAAAATCGACCAGTGCTTTCCATAAATATGTACAGTTTCAACTGTACTCTTATCCTGTAATCTTATTTAACTGTACTCTTATAATTTATTCACAAATTTAATTTTCAGATCTGTACATGATGTGGATGTTTACTCAGCGGGATTGGCAGAGTACTACGTACCAGGAGGATTTGTTGGACCCACATTTGGTGCTGTTTTAGGACAACAATACAAAAGACTCAAATTTGGTGACAGATACTGGTTTGAACATGCTCATCAAGCAGGATCCTTCACACCAGGTACATAATGTTTTCCAATACGCATTTTGTCAAATAATAATGAAAATGCATAATTATCATTAAAGGTTATTTTTTTCTAAGATGAAAATACATACACATATATACATATATATATGTTATATTTTGAATGCGTAGAAGAAAAAACTGGAAGTTGCAACAGATTTCGATATTCATCATGGCTGGTGGTTAAGGCATACGATGAAGTCAACCAAACTGAGTTTCGACAAATCACCCATCTTTATTTCCGAGCATACCAAATCATTTTCTTAGTAGATAAAATATTTCTAGATCATACGCAAGTCATTTTGGATGAGTAAGCCTAACAGCAAAGCGTCTTGCCAGAAGGAAAGTTTATACAAAAATGGATGCTGCAATTCAAAGAAAAAAGGGAGAGAGTCAAAGGTTTCAGTTCGAGTTAGAAAAGTATTGGTTTACAATAATTTTGAATAGACAAGAGGTATCTGCATTAAGTGTTAGGTAACATGGAAAGATCTCGAATTTGGGCAACAGATGAATTTAGGGGGAAAGCACCAAATCTAGAATCGTTAATTTTGAGGTCGCCAACTATTTTTAAAGAAGCTATCGTATTTTGTTATATTTTACATATATGAAATGTGTTTTCTCATACATTATTTATGTTGTGCAGCCAGGGCAACAGGAATCAGACAAATTTTGGAATATAAAGTGATGCGTTTATTTCAGCATCCATCTCACAAGTGTTCCTCCTGTACCTCGAGGAGAAGCCCTATTTATATTTAGATAATTGTGCATCATGGTGCTCATCCAATCAGCGGTATTAACTGAAATCACGAGGTGACGCTATCTTCTCATCAGGAGTGATTTTAAGGACTTTATGTAATATGACAGATTTATGAGTTTGGCAATTTGGCGGGCTCCAACATGTTAATATAATTTATAATAAAGAAAGGATTTCGCCAAAATTTAAGAAGAGGGATGCAATTCAGGTAGAAAATCGCCAACACATTATTAAGCAATATTATTAGAATTTAATTTAATCAATTGATTTAAAAATATCATTACATATATAGAGAGAGGAGAGCATATTTGGTAATAGAAATCCTGATCCTATTTCGGAAAAAGGTGTAGGGTAAAAATGACAGGTGTAACGAAAATGGATGAAGTTTAATGATAGGTGTAAAGTTTTATGATAGGTTTAAAGTTAATGATAGGTGTAAAATGTCAACTTAAGCTTTATGTACGGGAATTTGAAACACGTCAGAATAATAGTGTAATCTTTAAAATTAAAATAATATTGCCATAATAGTAGCAGTAGAAAACATAAAAAGCAATGTAAATACAAAAATATTAAAATAAAAATATTAATATCTCCTGTTTACTGTTTCAAACAGAACTTGTCAAGGGAAAATATTTGAAACACTAAACCTGATCCTTAAACCTTAATGAGTTCCCCAATAACATGTTTCGTTCCTCTGGACAATTTCAGACTTTAAACCGTTTTAAATAAATTTCGCTTTTGAAAAATAAGAACAATTAGAATACAGAGAGTTGGTTCCGAGCTACCCCTACTTTTACATAGGTTTACCGATATATATATAGAGAGAGTGAGAGAAAAGATTAAAAATAGGTAAATAAAATTATAACCTAAATTAGCGATAGCTGCTTCATGCTTCATTTTAATTCGGGTATTTATCCTTTCTGTTATAGGTAACTGCAAATGAAAGGTAATAACAGTAAACCCATACCTTCTGAACTTTTACTATTATGTTCATAGCGTTAAAAAGTACTTTTAAAAAGCAAATTACTGTATTAAGAACTTAAGAAATGTGATGCGATTATTCAAAATAAATACTGATTGTAAAAATTTTATATTTGTGATATTGCGTGAAAGTCTTTGAAAAGCCTTCCTTGAACAAGTATGATTATGGGGATTCTAAAAACAGACTTGAAAATTTTAATAGGACTTGAAAATATTATCAAAGTTAATTTTTTATCAAAGTTATTTAAATAATTATATTGGTTAAAATTTTATGTTGCTTGTGCTTTTAAAAATATATTTCTCTTCATCTGCTAATGCTTTAGCACTTTATATCTCAAAAAGGCATTTTTGTCGCTAAGCTATTTTCCTCTTTGAGGGGGGGCCATATATAAGGTAAAAATAGGTAAAAAAGATTATAAAATAAATTAGCAATAGCCCCTTTATTCTCCATTTTAATTTGGTTACTCCTCTTTCGGGCCCACCAGCGACCGAGCGGTAAAATCGCTGAACACTGGTAGTTCGGTCCGAGGTTCGAATCCCGCGAACGGGCTGGCTGCATGGGTGTTTTCGTGGTTTTTCCCATGTGTAACGTGTATACGAGCCAGTTTCCCTTAGAAAGTCCTCCACGAAGGCATCCCTTCCCTTAGGCTCCCCTAGTGTGCTTTGCCGTAACTAAATACACCACACCTACTCCCCTTTCTCTCCTAAAACTAGCAATTTTTATAACAACTTTTCCCGGATTGCGTCATTTTTAGACTAATGCATATCATATGACTGTTACACAAAGATGATGGCATAGCTAATTCAGAACTCAAAATTTTCTCAACCGAAGCTTGTATCTTAAAGCTAAGCTTCCATGTTGAATAACTACGCACTTGCTTTATGATCCTCGATCTAGTTAGACTGTTGTTACGTTGCTCATTTCTTATTGCAAACAATGTCAAAAATGCAAATGTTTTTAAGCAGGCATTATTAGAATGCTAAGTGAATTGCGGTCACAACTGTTAATTAAAATAAGTGAATATTTAATCTGGCTGCACTGGCAAGTTTCATGTGCGTTATGGATCAACACCAACGCAATCAATATTTTTGTATCATTACAAACACACACACAATATATATATTATATATATATATATATATGTAAGATAAAATTATATGAATCAGAATAACTAAAAACATTAATTCTTCCTCTCTATTCTAAAATCGTAATAACTTAACTTATCTGCATTGCGTCATTCAAATTAATCATGCAATCTTACGTAACCGTTAATACCAGATGTCTCTTGACGACCAATCACCGAATTGTAAACCAAACTTTTCTCTTTTTTTTTTCTTTTTCTTTTTTTATTGTATATAACTCTTTCTCTTTAAAAAGGCTTCTCTGTCGCTACGCCCGCCTTTTTCTTTTTGAAGGGGGGAATATGTAAGATAAAATTATATGAATCAGAATAACTAAAAAAAAACATTAATTCTTCCTCTCTATTCTAAAATCGTAATAACTTATCTGCATTGCGTCATTCAAATTAATCATGCAATCTCACGTAACCGTTAATACCAGATGTCTCTTGACGACCAATCACCGAATTGTAAACCAAAACTTTTCTCTCGCATGCTTCCATCTTTCATAACTACGCACTTCAGCTTTTGCCCTCTATTCTGCTAAGATGTAATTTCGCGCTGCTTGCTTTCTATCCCAACAATATCAAAATGTAAATCTTCTGTGGAAAGGCACGACTAGAGTGCCAAGTGATTGTGACCACAAATATCAACTGGAAATAAAAATGGAATTAAAACTGCCTCGACTGCCAAGTTCTTTAAATACTACGCAATCAAAATTCTTCTTCAATATGGATCTAATCACGCATCTACAGTGTTCTGTCTTTTCCTTTTCCTTGTGTTTTTATTATGACATATATATAAGTAAATATACAATACATAAAAATGAATGAAAGTAAATTTATAATTTTAATTGGCAATATCCTCTTTATCTTACAATTTAATTTCGGTACTTCCCTTTTCTGTCCTAAAAATAGTAGTTTCAGAATTAATCCGCATCACAAGACGTTATGTAACGCTGAAATGCAGATGCCTTTTATCCAATCTTTGAATAAGATTTATTTTTATTTGAGAACCGAAACTTTTTTATCCTCCCCCCCCCCGTTTTCTTCTTGGGTCACCTTTCCCGCTTGCTTGGTTGCTGCTAACAAGTTGTGTCTAAATTCTCTTTGTCATAAATTGTATGTGTTAAAAGTGTGAGCTTCCAAAATTATGGGAAATTCGTGTATGATTAATGAAATGTGCGTCAACCACAAATAAAAAGGAAATAATTCAGTTCGCCCACGCCTAAAGTTTTCTTTCCACTTTATGCATCTATCTATGCCATCAACTGTTACCAAGTTATTTCATATTATATATATATATATATACTTAAAATTTTTTAAAATACTATACTTAAAATTTTTTAAAAATTGTGCCCACCAGCGGCCGAGCGGTAAAGACGCTGAACACTGGTAGTTCGGTCCGAGGTTCGAATCCCGCGAACGGGCTGGCTGCATGGGCGTTTTCGTGGTTTTCCCCATGTGTAACGTGTATACGAGCCAGTTTCCCTTAGAAAAGTCCTCCACGAAAGGCATCCCTCCCCCCTTAGGCAGATAGCCCTAGTGTGCTTTGCCATAATTAAATACACCTTTTTTAAAAATTATTTCACCAGGATTTCATACGGTGAACATCTATCACGAGCACCAAATTTAAAGCGACGCAGAACATAAATTTAGCACAGTAAGTCAACCTGAAAAATTTGTCGTTTTATGCGCTTTTTTCCATAGCACTGGCAAAGGGTTAGCCGTTAGAAGAAGCTAGTAGGTTACAGTGAGTGAGTGAGTGACGGAGGACGTGGGCACCATCCCTCTACCGTTACGGTTAATTGGTATGAGCACCACGTCCGCCCTTATCTGGAATGACATAATTAGGTACTTAGGTTATCGCTACCCATTCAGACTTGCATGGTACACATTGCCATACTCTGACTTGCACGACTATTACACATGCCGTACCATATTCGGACTTGCTTATTCATACTTGCATGGTGCATTTACATTCATATTGCATGGTACATATTTCACACATTTCATATTACACATTACATTTACTGGGAAATTGAATATGACTTATGTTTAAGGTTCTTTGCATCCGTAAGGTTCAATATTTACGTTAATTATACATGATTAGATACTTAGGTTAACTCTATGCATTCATTATT